CAGATTCCATAAATTTTTCGTTCATGCCAATTCATACATTTTTCTTGAAATTTCCGGAAGCTGCAGCACATTCATTAATTGATCTCTAAAATTTTCCGAATCACAGCTTTTTTGCTGATCATAGATGAAAACCCAAAGTCATCTCCACAACTTTTATTTAATGATCATAGATCATATAATAAGGGAACATGTTTCGGGCTTATATAAGCCCATCATCAGCCAAGAAAATGTAAAGGTCTAAAAAAGGACAGATTTGACCTATGGTATGATACAATAATATTTTACTTACATGGAAGTGAAAAATGTTGCAATGTGTATAATATTATTGTATCATACCATAGGTCAAATCTGTCCTTTTTTAGAACTTTACATTGTCTTGGCTGATGATGGGCTTATATGAGCCCGAAACATGTTCTCTTATATGATCTATGATCATTAAATAAAAGTTGTGGAGATGACTTTGGGTTTTCATCTATGAACTACACCACTCCACTTTGAGTTACCATGGACTTCTTCCAAAGATTTTTGCTGATACCTTACGCCTATCCCACAAATTGAATTATTTGAAGGATCAGAGTACTCAAAATTGATTGAGTTGTACTCTGGTGGGATCACATTGTCTTTAAAAAAACAGATGCCGTTGCTATAGCAACTAATTTGTTGTATGCCTCCATATTTGACCATTTGTCGTTGTGTCATTAATCAAGTGTCATGTTTTTTTTGACTAAAATAACATAAAATGCCTCAAATAAATCCTGAACAAGTAGCAAGATTAGTTGCGTTAGTAAACGATGTGCGTGGTAAACGTTACGCCGCTCGTGAAGTGGGAGTTCATGAAGCAACTGCTCGTAGAGCAATCCGCAAGTACGAACAAACAGGAAGCACCGCTTGGAGGGTCGGTTCTGGTCGCCCCCCAAAAACTTCTTCAAGAGATGATCGCTTCTTGAGATTGCGGATTTTACGGAATCGATCAAATACTGCGGTAAATGTTCAGCAAGATCTTCGCCAAATTCGTGATGTTGCAGTAAGTAAGCAAACGGTATGTTGACTTCTAAAAGAAGTTAATTTAAAAGCTAAGAGACCTGCAAGAGGTCCCAAATTATTGCCTGAACATCGTGCTGCTAGTAGAAATTTTGTTGAGAATTATGGACAGTCGAATATTCCTGAATGGTCGAATGTCTTATTTTCGGATTAGTCAAGGTTTTGCCTCAACATGGTGGATGGTAAAAAAAGAGTGTGGAGAAGAACTGGTGAACGGTTTAATCAAAATTTAATAACAGAATGTGAAAGTTTCAATGGTGGGTCCGTTATGGTGTGGGTATAGGGAGTTCAATGAATGAAAAGACACCCCTTCATGTTTTTCCGGTGAGGCAGTCGATGAATGCCCAAAATTTACATTGACATTTCAGAGCAGTATGTCTCACCTTATGAGAGGTAGTGGGCAATTACTTTATATTGATGCAGGAAGCTTTATATTGATGCAGGAAACTTCTTAGACGCTACTGGTATTACCACATTACAATGGCCTGCGAGAAGCCCCGATATGAATCCTATAAAAAATTTGTGAGATGAATCAGGGAGAAGGGTACGTTCTCGCGAGAGGTCTCCGGATAGTCTCGCAGAAATGGCAGATGCCAATGGAAACGATAAGAAACTCAATTTCCAGTATGCCTCGTAGATTAGAAGTTCTTAGAGTTTCTAGAGAATGCAATACACGGTATTAAGCAGTCATACCAATTTATAATTTTGTGTTTGATAAAAATGTTTTTTGAAATTATTGGTATCAGTTTATTCCATTAGAAAATTGTTTCTCGATAAATTCAGAAAGTTGGTTATCTGCAAGGATTCAGCAAAAAAGCTGTAATTCGGAAAATTTCAGAGATAAATCAATGAATAAGAAAACAAAATGCATCACCATCAAGGAGGCTTTGAAAAAATGTTGACCTATTTATTTTTTTTAAGACAAATGCATTACCTACCAACAAATAAAAAAAATAAAAATCGGCCCACTTTTCCTTTTTTTGTTTTTTTAAGAAGATAGGTCAAATATCAAGTGCGTCACTTTTTTTGGAACTGAGTGTACAGGGTGGCCAACTAAGAATCCAGAGGTCGATACCTCTGTTGTCTTGAGAGATACAAAAAAAAGTTTCGCATTCAAATTAAAGTGATAACCGAGCTTCACATTTCGAAATTTCTTTGAAATACACAGGGTGTTCCGTAAGGTCACAGCACATCAAAGCTATGTTTTTTTCATTAGAACACCCTATATTTCATTTAATTTTTGAATTATCCCTGGAGATCTGATTTCAACGACGTATCATACTTAGGGTCTAGCAGTGAAAGTTACTGTCATATAGGGTGTGCAAAATCGAGATTTTCCAAGTTCAGCATTTTTTTCTGTCGAAACTGTTCATCATTCGTCAAAACGGTTTACATGTCCCCATCTCAACTTTTCACTCACTATCAATTGGTGTTCAATTGGCATTCAATTGAAACAAATTATAAATTTAGATTTTTTGACCACCTTGTATCAATTTCAATTGAACACCAATTGATAGTGAGTGAAAAGTTGAGATAGGCACATGTAAACCGTTTTGACGAATAACGAACAATTTAGACAGAAAATAATCCTGAACTTGGAAAATCTCGATTTTTCACAACCTATATGTCAGTAACTTTAACTGCTAGACCCTAAGTATGATCTGTCGTTGAAATCAGATCTCCAGGGAGAATTGGAAAATGAAATAAAATATAGGGTGTTCCAATGAAAAAAAACTTAGCTTTGATGTGCTGTGACCTTACGAAACACCCTGTGTATTTCAAAGAAATTTTGAAATGTGAAGCTTGGTTATTACTTCAATTTTGATTCATGAATTCTTTTTGTATCTCTCAAGACAACAGAGAAATCGAACTCTGGAGTCTTAGTTGGCCACCCTGTACTTTGTTGGACTTTTCCGATTCAAAGAAATAACAATCAAATGAAAGATTCCCTAATCATCGACTGCCGAATCACCAGACATTCAGAAACATTTTTCAGCATCTTATATATAGAGTCGGGATCCTTTCTCCAGTGATAGGCAGACCGTTGACTACTAAGACTCCAGAAATTGAAGAAGCTGTTCTTCAGACAATCGAAGAAGATCCACACACAAGCACGAGAAAAATTGCGCAAAATCTTACGAGCTTCATATGAAAATAATTCGAATGCATCGATTTTTTCATATCCCAATAACTCAAAACAGTTGTTCGCAGAGATCTTTACCAGGAATATATTTTTTACACAAGTGTTGTAGAAATCTATTTTTCTACTTTAAAACGTGATACATCAGGTACGCACAAAAAAAATTATGACCCTTCTAAAAACTCGAAAGACATGTAGGTGGCGCCACCCTCACGAAAGAGAAAAACTAACATAAAATTTGATAGTGTTATTGAATAATACCACTAGAAAACAAACTTCTTTCAAATATCACAATTATATCGAAATTTATTAACAAAAAAACAAAATAAAAATCAAACTTTGACACTTGCTGTATCTCAGAAGCGAACGAACTTTTCTTCTTATTTTGACGTCAGCAACATGCTCCTGAGTTTTCTACACGTACTTGAGAAACACCCTGTATAGAGAGTACTACTCGAATATTCACCATCTCGAACATACAGGGTATCTTCTGAACATTGTTTGAATATCGTGAGATGATTCCTGGATATGAAAAATTTTCATGGAAAAAAGTTTCTATAAATGTTTGCCTAAAATTACTTCCTGAAAGGTCTATAGGCCCCATCAAATAGTACCCTCTGAAGTCATTCTTATCTCAATATTTCCGAAACCGTTTCTATAAAAATTATAGAATTAGGTACATTGCATGAACTTTAATCATTGAATCAGAATTTCAGCTCAGAATTTCAAAATTTTAATCAGAGGCGTACCATACTAGAGGGGTTGAGAGTAAATACACTCCCATTTTTATGGTACTTTTTCACATTCTGTTCTTAGAATATGATATCGGTGGATTCTGTAGGTGAAAAATGTACCATTAGTTCTAATCAATAGGGCTAGTATTCTCCAGGAAATTATACACTGTGTCCATAAAGTCACCCCCCCCCCCCTGGTTAACTTTCTGGTGTGAGATTTCAAACGTTATAATCCGCCATTTTGTTCTGGATGAATATTTTCGTCTGAGAACCTGAGGTTGTATAGAGAATCGAAAGACCTTTCAATCGAGGTATCTTTCGACCCCCCACTCCATTTAAGAAAATCTTCCAAGGCGCCATTTTTGAGGATACATATTTTTTTTTTTGGACAATATGTAGCACTGAAACTACCATTGGAGCAGGAAAGAATTGAAACAACAAAATCCCATCCGTTCTAAAGTTAACCAGGGGGGGGGTGACTTTATGGACATAGTGTATTAGTGATGAAAGTTCATGTAGTGTACCAAATTTCAATAAGTATTTTTGAATATATTGAGGAGAACCTCTCTTTAGGGTACGGCTGCATCGATGTAGAAAATTGCCCTTTTCTCGAAAAATACTAGACTCTTCGATATAAACTACGAGTACCTTTCAACGTGAAAAATGTTTCGGTAACGTATTCTTCAATTAGAACGTAAAAAATATTCACCATTTGAAAAAATGAGATTTTTGTTACCACGAACCTCACCAGTTAAGTACGCCCCTGATTGAATTTTTGAAATTCAGAGCTTCAATTCTGTTGCAGTGTTGGACGTCCATGCGATGTATCAAATTTCATGATTTTTCAATAAACGGTCTCGAGAATATTGGGGAAAATCCGTCTTCAGGGTGTACCTACTGTTTAAAGGGATGTGGCTCCAGTAGGTACCATTTTCGACAAATAATCAAAGAAAATTGTATCGATGAAAATTCCTCAGAAATCATCAAACAATGTTTTCACCAATACTTAGGAAGCACCCTGTATAGTGTGGTAGACCTAATACACTCTATATAAATTACTCTCTCATTGATTATAAACATTTCAGGAGATACTGATACACTGCCTAGTGGAACAGATTCATGTCTAGAGGATATATCTGTGACAGACAGTTCAGCAAACGAAAATTCCCAATCTAGTCAACCTGAAGAAGGAACTGAAGCAAACCAAAACGCTGCAGAAGGAAACAATGGATCAACCGGCAATGATGGAGACCAAAACATTGCCGAAGAGACGAATAATGAAGCCGCACAAACAGCTTTGCCTAAGGAGGGCACTGATTCAGGTCCAAACATTATCGAAGAGAACAATAATGAAGCAGTACAAACCGACAATAATGCAGAACAACCTGGCCTACCTGAGATAGGCAATAATGAAGACCAAAACATTCCAGTAGGAAACAATGAAGCTGAAGAAACCGACAGTAACGCAGAACAACCTAGCTTGCCTGAGGTAGGCAATAATGCAGACCAAAATGTTACCGCAGAGAACAATAATGAAGGAGCACAGACCGGAAATAATACAGAACAACCTAGCTTACCTGAGACAGGCAATAATGGAGACCAGAACGTTGTTGACGAAAACAATAACGAAGGAGCACAGACAGGAAATGATGCAGAACAACCTAGCTTACCTGAGACAGGCAATAATGGAGACCAGAACGTTGTTGACGAAAACAATAACGAAGGAGCACAGACCGGAAATGATGCAGAACAACCTAGCTTACCTGAGACAGGCAATAATGGAGACCAGAACGTTGTTGACGAAAACAATAACGAAGGAGCACAGACCGGAAATGATGCAGAACAACCTAGCTTACCTGAGACAGGCAATAATGGAGACCAGAACGTTGTTGACGAAAACAATAACGAAGGAGCACAGACCGGAAATGATGCAGAACAACCTAGCTTACCTGAGACAGGCAATAATGGAGACCAGAACGTTGTTGACGAAAACAATAACGAAGGAGCACAGACCGGAAATGATGCAGAACAACCTAGCTTACCTGAGACAGGCAATAATGAAGACCAGAACGTTGTTGAGGAGAACAATAACGAAGCATCACAGACCGGAAATGATGCAGACCAACCTAGCTTACCTGAGACAGGCAATAATGGAGACCAGAACGTTGTTGAGGAAAACAATAACGAAGGAGCACAGACCGGAAATGATGCAGACCAACCTAGCTTACCTGAGACAGGCAATAATGGAGACCAGAACGTTGTTGAGGAGAACAATATCGAAGCAGCACAGACCGGAAATGATGCAGATCAACCTAGCTTACCTGAGACAGGCAATAATGGAGACCAGAACGTTGTTGAGGAAAACAATAACGAAGGAGCACAGAACGGAAATGATGCAGAACAACCCAGCTTACCTGAGACAGGCAATAATGGAGAACAAAACGTTGTTGAGGAGAACAATAACGAAGGAGCACAGACCGGAAATGATGCAGAACAACCTAGCTTACCTGAGACAGGCAATAATGGAGACCAGAACGTTGTTGAGGACAACAATAACGAAGGAGCACAGACCGGAAATGATGCAGAACAACCTAGCTTACCTGAGACAGGCAATAATGGAGAACAGAACGTTGTTGAGGAGAACAATAACGAAGGAGCACAAACCGGAAATGATGCAGAACAACCTAGCTTACCTGAGACAGGCAATAACGGAGAACAGAACGTTGTTGAGGAGAACAATAACGAAGGAGCACAGACTGGAAATGATGCAGAACAACCTAGCTTACCTGAGACAGGCAATAATGGAGACCAGAACGTTGTTGAGGAGAACAATAACGAAGGAGCACAGACCGGAAATGATGCAGAACAACCTAGCTTACCTGAGACAGGCAATAATGGAGACCAGAACGTTGTTGAGGAGAACAATAACGAAGGAGCACAGACCGGAAATGATGCAGAACAACCTAGCTTACCTGAGACAGGCAATAATGGAGACCATAACGTTGCCGAGGAGAACAATAACGAAGGAGCACAGACCGGAAATGATGCAGAACAACCTAGCTTACCTGAGACAGGCAATAATGGTGACCAGAACGTTGTTGAGGAGAACAATAACGAAGGAGCACAGACCGGAAATGATGCAGAACAACCTAGCTTACCTGAGACTGGCAATAATGGAGACCAGAACATTGTTGAGGAGAACAATATCGAAGGAGCACAGACCGGGAATGATGCAGAACAACCTAGCTTACCTGAGACAGGCAATAATGGAAACCAGAACGTTGTTAAGGAGAACAATAACGAAGGAACACAGACCGGAAATGATGCAGAACAACCTAGCTTACCCGAGACAGGCAATAATGGAGACCAAAACGTTGTTGAGGAGAACAATAACGAAGGAGCACAAACCGGAAATGATGCAGAACAACCTAGCTTACCTGAGACAGGCAATAATGGAGAACAGAACGTTGTCGAGGAGAACAATAATGAAGGATCACAGACCGGAGATGATGCAGCACAACCTAGCTTACCTGAGACAGGCAATAATGGAGACCAGAACGTTGTAGAGGAGAACAATAACGAAGGAGCACAGACCGAAAATGATGCAGAACAACCTAGCTTACCCGAGACAGGCAATAATGGGGACCAGATCGTTGTTGAGGAGAACAATAACGAAGGAGCACAGACCGGAAATGATGAACCTAGCTTACCTGAGACAGACAATAATGGAGACCAGAACGTTGCCGAGGAGAACAATAATGAAGGAGCACAGACCGGAGATGATGCAGCACAACCTAGCTTACCTGAGACAGGCAATAATGGAGACCAGAACGTTGTAGAGGAGAACAATAACGAAGGAGCACAGACCGGAAATGATGCAGAACAACCTAGCTTACCTGAGACAGGCAATAATGGAGACCAGAACGTTATTGAAGAGAACAATAACGAAGCAGAACAAGCAGACAATAATGCAGAACAACCTAGCCTGCCAGAAGGAAATAACGATGGCGAAATTCATGATGTCAATGATGTTAATGGGGATGCTGCTGGAGGTGATGAAGAACCAGCTGGTCAAAACAGCGATTCTGGTGTACCACAAGGTAATACATAAACTATATCATCACGTGGATACAATATTTCCAGAAGGTTAACTTTACTATCTAAGAGTGGAACGCATCAAATTCTAGAAGTAAAAATAACTATATACATATCATGTTAGGCTCAAAAAACTCGAATGTTGTTATTCGATTTTTATTTGCTCAGATTATAACGTCATAATAAAATTTCCCACACGCATTGTTATGAACAGTGCTCTAATCATTGTGTAATGAAAAAGTAGTTACCTACATCACGTAAATAAACGTTGAATAACAGCTGTTTTCTTGACACACGACACACTAATCAGTACAAACAAACGAATAAAGTTAATTTTTTGACGTTTATAGAAAATAATGTTGTGCAAACATTTCATATGATAAGTAAACATTGGATATCATTCGAGTTTGCTTTATTATTGTTTCTACGTACACTTCTAGAATTAAATGTGTTACTTGCAAACCAACCGGAATTAATTCATTTTGGACAATAGAAATCAGCTTGAACTAGTAGTGAGAAGCCCTAATGTAAAAACTTCACAAACGATAGGATTTCCACGAAATTCTTAAACACACAACATGTTTCGCTTACACAGTAGCTTCGTCAGGTGATGTACCTACTGGTACAATGAACTAAACCAACGTTGGCTTGCTTAACTTTCATATATTATCCTACTTTCCCTTCTTGAAGGATAAGGCACAATATTTACATCTCATCTATATCTACATATTGTATCTAATTTCCGAAAATGAAGGTTCATCCAACCTGTCCACAGGTAACTGATACTTCAAGTTGGGAAAGTAGGAAAATTTGTGGAAATCTTATCGGTAGTGTTGTTTTTACATTGGCCATGGATTTCCATCAAGTAATGGCCGAGTCAATTAAAAAAAAAAACCTTAATAATCTCATTGTACAGGGTGATTCACCATAAATGTCCCACCCTCTAGCTCAGTTATTTTTTAACCGATTTCAAAATTTGAGATATCATCTTAAATGGTTTTCGATAAAGTTTTTTCCGCTACATCAGAAAATACAGGGTGCTCGGAACAAACGATCTAAAGGGGTACTATTCGATTGTTTCAAATGAAACACCCTATTTTTAATTGCATCTTTAGATTCTCCCTGAAGAGCTGATTTGATCAATGAAACACACTTGGGGTCTAGCGGGAATGATTACAGAGATATAGGGTGTTCAAAATCGAGAGTTTCCAACTTTAGGATTTTTTTGTGACGAAACTATTCATTATTGGTCAAAACGACTCTCATGTCCGTATCTTTATTGTAGATTTTCTATCTACTGACATTTAATAATTGGAACAGATAAAGGGGTGATCAGAATTCTGAATCTTGAACCACCCTGTAAATGTTCAAATTAAATGTCAGTAGATAGTGAATCAAAAGTTGAGATGGAGACATAGAAGCTATTTTGACCAATAATGAATAGTTTCGACACAAAAAAATCCTAAAGTTAAAAATCTCGATTTTGAACACCCTCTATATCTCTGTAACCATTCCCGCTATACCCCAAGTGTGATGTATTGATGAAATCAGCCCTTCATGAAGAATCTAAAAATACAATGGAATACAGGGTGTTCCATTTGAAAAAATCAAGTAGTACTCTGTAGACCGAGTTCCGAGCACCCTGTATTTTCTGATGCAACGGGAAAAAAATTTCTGAACAATCATTTAAGATTATTTTTCAAATTCTTGAATTGGTTCAAAAATAAGTGAGCTAGAGGGGGGGACATTTAAGGTGAATCACCCTGTACATAGAGTTTTGTAATTTCTGAATATCAGTATGAATCTACAAAATTTTGCTATCCGAAATGCTATAACAGGGTGTTGTTTTCTAAATGAAAAGAGCACAAAATTGAAAAGGTATAATCTCAGATAAATTATGATCATAAAAAAATGATATACAGTGTGACCCACTTCGAATGAAAACAGCCCTGGATCTTACGTAATCGTTGGAAAAGGATCCTGAAATTTGCTCGAGCGAGAGATATACCAGAAATGCACTCTATGACCAGTTGGGGTCATCTTCAGTGATATACACTGCTCACCAACAGAAATGGAACCACCCCAATTTCCGGAAAATTATTTTAGGAGTCAAAATAGGTTGAAAATCACTTCGGATTCGGTATCAGGACGCTCAATTCACTCACTATTCATAGTTCTCCTAGAAGATTTTCAGTTTAGGAGAATTGAATTTTGTCTCACTTCTCATGGAAGCACCCCCGTATCTCACGTATTCATTGAGTTATAGGGTTCTAAAATTTGCAGAAGGAAGGAAAAGTCCAAAGACAAAGTCAAAAACATAATGAAACTGAGTTTAATCGCTTACCTCTGCCACAGGGCGTTGAGAATTTAAGGGTGAAAGAGATATTCTTGGTTTACCTATATGATGATTATGCCATCAGCTTTTTTCAAGAATTAACATTTGAATCTACGATTTGTTCGAAATAACGCTCAATTCGGCTAATTTTTTTGCTGGCCTGTTTTTTGCTGGTAAGTGTATTTTTGTTTTTTCTTGTGTAAAATTCAAATTCAGTTCCAAATCGAGAATATTATTACTCGTTATTTTATTTTCAAAACCTTGAATACATTTGATTTTTCACCCTCTTGATTCAATTCTTCCAATGTTATATACTTAACAAAGTCTTAATGACATTCCAGAGGACATGGAAGTATGCTAGTGTTATTCCTTTACCCAAAATTAACAAACCTATAGAATTCAATCATCTTCGATCCATAAATATACTTCCTACGTTCTCAAAAATATTAGAAAAAATAATGGAAATCCAGATTAGGTCACACTTAAGTAATAATAACATTTTACCTATGAAGCAATCAGGGTTTAGACACGGTTACAGTTGCGCAACAGCACTTGTCGATATTGTTGATGATTTATTGAGAGCTACTGATCGAAATGAAATGAGCGTCTTAATTTTACTTGACTATACTAAAGCTTTCGATATGATACACCATAGAACTCTTATTTCAATATCACATTTTTTTGGTTTCACGCAGAGTGCAATTATTTTCTTGGAATCTTTCTTAACTGACAGGTTTCAGCACGTTAAAATTGGAGAAAAAATATCTTCTCCAATCAAAGTGACTACAGGGGTATCACAAGGAAGTTTTCTGGGGCCTTTATTATATACTATGTACACTGCTAATTTTCAAAATGCTTTCAAGTATTGCAAATATCATTTTTATGCTGATGACACGCAAATATATTGCTCATTCAAAAGTGATAATTTGTTTGAGTCTGTTCAACAAATTAATCATGACCTGAATTCTTTACTCATCACATCTAATAATCATTCATTAAAAATAAATCCAAGTAAGTCGTATGCACTGCTTTTCAGCAAAGATACCACAAGACAATTTGCATTAAATTCAATACAATTGCACATCGGCAATGAAGAAATTCCATTTCTTGAATATGGTAAAAGTCTGGGTCTTATGATTGACAGTAAACTGAAATTCAAAGAGCACATCTCGAAAAAATTGCAGATAGCGTATTGTACTCTGAAAATGATATATAGTCATAGATTATCTCTAGATCGAGATTTGAAAAAAATATTATGTGAATCTCTGGTTTTGTCTCATCTAGATCACTGCGATGTAGTTTATGGAGCATGTCTTGATAGTGTGGATATAAAACGTATACAAAAACTGCAAAACTCATGCCTCCGTCTAATATTTGGTATAAGGCGCAGTCAAAGAATTTCTCACAAACTAAATGAATGTCATTGGCTCAACATGATTAACCGCCGTAAATTACATTTTGCTTGCTTTTGCTTCAAACTATTGAAGCTCAAAATTCCAACTTACTTACACGAGAAATTGAGATATCGCACCGACGTTCACAATTTAAATATTCGACGCCAAAATATCCTCACCATACCCTCCCACCACAAAGAAGTTTTCAAGAGATCGTTTTCTTATAACATCGCTATCGTCGTGAATGATCTGATAAAACTTACCTTTTTCCGTTTTGATATGAATCCGAATGCCTTCAAGAACAAATTCAAATGCTATTTATTTGATAAGCAGAATAATCGAGAATAATCAACCTTAGATGCACTCATACATTCTACTGCCTTTATGACATTCAATCTTTTTTATCACTTTTCTCTCTCTCTCTCTCTCTTTCTCTCTCTCTTCCTCTTCTCTCTCTCTTGACATCTCCTCACTTTTCTTCAATTATAGAGTTAGACATATTTATTGTAGCTTGGTAACCATTCAACGATTGAAAAAAACTTAAAATGGCTTTGGTGGAAGAACAGGCTCAGAAGTTCAACTTCTGATATCTGAACCATACAGCCTTTTATCTACCCTCTCAAAATGTATACCGTTCGTATCGAATTCATTTGTATATCTAATTTTGGGTATATAATAAACGTATTTATTATTATTATTATTATTATTATTTTGTGAATGTCCTTGATAAACATCTCATAGATATTGGTGAAGAATGTCTTTCAGATATTCTTGAAAGATATGTTATGAAGACCCCAAACAACGTCCTATGGAATTCAAGTTCCATCCACTCGAAAAATCCATTGAACGTCCATGAAATATTCATCGGATATCAAGTGATATCCCAAATATTGACAATGGATGTCCATTTTATATCCAATGAATAGCTGTGTGTTGAATGGGTAGTAGACAGTCCTGAAGATACCTTCTAGAATCTTCCTATAAGATCTCTGTTAAGTTTTCACTTAAAATAATTAATTAATTAATTAGGGAACTTCTATTTTCGTCAAGATAGAGGGATTTCCTCAACCTTGAATCATCCGAGATGCAATACCGTTCCATTTCATTCAAAATAAACGCGTTTTTCTGGTATTGCCCTAAACAGCTCGAAATGAGTGATAAACATTAACGTTTTTTATCGAGGTCTGAAAAACCTCGCCGAGCAAAGCAGGACCCACGAAGAACTGGACACGAGCAGTCTCGCTAGAACTCCGCTCGAAATTGTTTACGATACGTC